ATTCCAAATGAATCAAGTATGCCAAATCTTGAACAAAAACTCCTTCTACCTTGAATGATTTTGTACTCAAGAAAATTTGGCCCCAAATCCTTCTTCATAATCCTCCGGTTACTGCTACCTGATTGAACACTTCACGGTCTTCCAATCCCTTAGCTCGGCTGAATTCAATGAAGCAAAGATTTGTGATAAAAACCCCCAGTTTTGGAGGACAAAACCCTAATTGTTTTATTCAAGAAAAAACCCACAACGATCTCTACCCAAATCTGAAATTGCACTTTCAATTCGGACGTTATCAACACAATCCCAAGAACTTGATCAACAAAAATGATTGTGTGTAGTTTTTGATAATTGATGAGAGGTTGAGGATGAAGATAACTCTTGTGTATATCTTTCACTTTTTCTTGTTACTAGGCCAAAACTATATTTATAAGTCATTCCCATAGTGTAATAGCATAGCAGAAAAATAAGACAATTTAGCGGTGTGTCGACTCATGCAGGGCATACAGAAGGCGTGCGCCTTCCCGAGCAAGATAAAAATTGAAGTTCCTTCAGTTATGCGCCGACTCATTGTTTTGATGCGCCGACTCATGTTTTCCTAGAACTATGCGTCGACGCATAGAGAAGGTGTTCGCCTTCCCGAGCGAGAGAGGTTCAAATTCCTTCAGTCATACGCCGACTCATTCCCTGATGCACCGACTCATGTTCGCCCAGAACCATGTGTCGACACATAGAGGAGGCGTGTGCCTTCCCGGATGTTTCCAAGTTAAAAACTTTTTCTCATGAGCCAACCTAAGGATCCATGAGCTGGCTCATGCAGTCTATTTTGAGATAAATGCTTGTTTTTGATGTTTCTCACTTGCACCTGTTTGAAGCAAGATATATTTGCACATATAGGTTTTCGACAATCATTAAAACTCAGTTCTTTCACTTTTTCCCTCACAGAGACGACCGGCCTTGGTCACATGACATAATTCCTTGGCATTGAGTTTCGCAAGTCTAAAAAGAGACTACACATGCACCAAAGAAGGTATGCGCTAGAGATTTTGAAGAAGTTTGGAATGAAGCATAGTAATGTTGCCATTATATTGGCTAAACCAAGGCTACAGTTGTCGAAGAATTGGGATGAGCAAGATGTTAATCCAACTCAGTATAGGAGGCTGATTGGATCCTTGTGTTACTTGTGCAATACGCGATCGGATTTGGTGTTTAGTGTCGATATTGTGAGTAGATTCATGGAGAGACTGAAGGTGTCACACTTGGTTGCAGTCAAGAGGATTCTAAGATACATAAAGAATCTATTGGATGCAGAATTCTATTTCCTGCAGCAGACACAGGCAGAAAATACAATTTACTCGATTTTATAAATTCCAGTTGGTGCAGAGATAAAGATGATCGAAAGTCTAAAGTTAGATACATCTTTATGTTTGGTAGAACACCAATCTTATGGTGTTCGAAGAAGGAACCAGTAGTAGCACTCTCGTCTTGTGAGACCGAGTATATTGTTGTTTTGTTGTGTGTGCCAAGTTGTGTGGCTAATGAATCTATTAAAGGAGTTGGACAACGATGACGGTGATGATGTAACGCTCTTGGTTGATAAATTTCCTCAAGTAATCTTATTAAAAACCCAATTGCACATGAGAGGAGAAAGCATATTGAGATGATGTTTCACTACTTGATAGAGCTTGTTAGTGAACAAAGGTTGAAATTGGGATATTGTAGAAGTGAATATTAAGTGGCTGATTTATTGACCAAGTGGGTCATAATCGAAGTGTTCAAGAGATTGAAGATGGACATGGGCATGGAAGACTTGAAGCACTTGAATTAAGGTGGTGTGTTAAGTGAAATTTTATAATTCAAGTGTTGTAATCGGTTACCACGGGTATGTAACCGGCTACAAGTGTCAAGAAAAGTCAAATAAGCTGAGAAAAATGATTTTGGAGTTGGTGAACCAGTTACACATTCGCAGTAACCAGATGTTGTAATTGGTTACCACTGTTATGAATTTATTTTTTGTTTCAGTTGTAACCGATTACAGGTTTTGTGTAATTGATTCCTAGTACGAGTTTTTCAGTTTTCTGTTATTTGACTTATGTAACTTGTGTCTCAATCCACTCGTAAACCTTTTGTATATATACCTTGAAGGTATTATAAATGAAATGTTAATGAAAATTCTCATCTTCAATTATCTCTCTCTAATTCTCTTTATATCTCTCTTACTTTTCACATTGAAACCCTTCATTTTCACCAACAAAGAAATTTCAAATTCTAATAAACTCAACCTAACAATAGAGACACAAGTAATTTAAAACATTCATAATCTATCTCAACCTAACATGCAAGACCCTAAATAGATAAAAATTTAACTTTTTATTAAATTCGTATATTACATGTGGAAGAAAGGAAAGAAAAATCCACTTAGATCGACACATTTAATAATTTGGAGAGGAAGATGATGATTCATAAAAATAAAGAAGAGATGACTAATATTGAACTTGAATCAGTCGCGTTAAAATTTAGTGATGGTGAGTGAAATTATGAGCAGGGTCGGTCCAATCCAACTGAGAGTCTCATTTTAATTTAAAAAATAGACCTAATTTTTTTATTAAAAAAATACAATTATGATAATAATTAAAAATGAAACATAAAAATATAATTATATATTAATAAATAAAGATTTAATTATAATTATTTTGACTTTAATCAATCTTATTTTTTAATGTATTGGGTGTTTGTTAATAATATTTATTTGATTTATTGAATTTTTATAACATTTTTTTTGTTTATTAATATTAATGTAAAAAAAATAGATTTTCAAAAATTTATAGCCCTTTAAAATTTGGAGCCCCTATACTTTAGAGTCTGGTGCTCCATGGTCGAGACTTGATTATGAGTGGGTTCAAGAATCCCTTCTCCCCCGTTCCTTCTCACTCCCTCACAATGTCATTCATTCCCTTTTGGTTCTTTAATTATTTTTTGTGTTATATTAGTTTTTTAATTTTCATAATATTTTATTTTAGTTCTTTTTGTTTAAATAGCAACAAATTTAACGACTAATTTCTAAATTTTTCTGTAAATAATTAGACAAAAATAAATAAAATAAAATATTTTAAAATTTAAAAGACTAATATAACACGAAAAACAATTAAGAAATTAATTTACACCTGAAAATATAATTAAGAAAAAAAAAAATTTAGCTTATTTGATTGATCTGACATAAGTAATTGCATCTACACCCATAAATTCACTCTTAACACCTTCATTCTATTTCTAATTAAAATATATGCCAAACATGTTACTAATAAGCTAGAGACGTTGCATGGGACCCAAAATATTTTATGCTGTACAATAAAAACAACAAAAGTAACAAACACTAAAAAAAAAATTAAATTGCTTATTGTTCTATGACGTCATTAGTATTAGTATGTTCGTGAGGTTCGTACAATTGGATCATTTTCCACTATTAAAAAAAAGGCAATCCTTTGTTATAGGATATACTTTTGAAAATCTCAAAATATTTTTAAATAAATTCGAAGATACGTCTTTAAATATATTAAATATTATTTTTTTAAAAATTTATTTTGAATATGTATTTTTGAATTTAGCTAAGAATAAAGTCGCAGATACATCTCTGAAATCATCTTTCGTCTTTAGTAAATTAAGCAGTTACCATATTTTTTTAAAAAAATATGTTTGAAGATATATATTCAAACTATGTGTGGGATAAATTTAGAGATGCGTCTCCGAATTATTGTCTGTGTATTTTCTTTGGAAGCAATTTATTATGATTGTGGTGTTTTCAATTCAAACTAATTTTAATTCGATTAACATTGTCTTTATTCGTTTCAACGATTAATAAAAATAAACATTATAAAACTGAGTAATGCGTTAATAAAATCGAATATTATATAAACGAATATCAGAAAGATTATAATAGTCCAACAAATTGTCCTCAAAATTGATGAAAAATAAACCAATAATCAAAAACATAATCTACTAAGTATGTTTAATCCTAACACTCAAACTCCTCATCTGTCTACGGTAACTCAAGACATTTTGTGCTTCAGTAAGAATGGAACATGCTAGACAATTGTTTCATCGTCATCTCTCTCGAACAACTCATACTCGATGTCCTCTCTTGTCATCCGCATGATGTTAAATGTAGTAGTTATATTAAAAAGAGAGAAAAATATTTTTATTAAAATACCTATTATCAAATATCGAAAGTAATGAAAGTAGTAATGATTAAATGTTAGAATTGAAAAAAAATTATTGTAAATTGAAATGAATCATCATACATTTTGAACACTTATTTACAAATGGGTCATTATGGGGAGGAATGAGTAAGTGCATATTTGAATTGACTTCTACAAGCCTCAAAATCAATTTTAGGGATTTAAAATTGATTCGGATTGATTTTAAGGTATTTGGTTTATCAAAAATAAAATTGATTTTGTCGTCCATAATTGATTCTACATGAAATTAGAATTTACAACTTCTGCCTTAAAAATTGATTTTGAATGATTTTTACACATTTACGGTTCAATTCACTTTTATATAAGTATATCCAAATATATATCAATTATGCTAAAATCAATTCTGTTAAAATCTTTTCTACCAAACTATCAATTATGTCTACTATCAATCCAAACCTATCCTCTAAGTAATTTAGAATTGCTAGACCTACATTAGAGTGAAATTTTGAAATGGAACCATCAAAACAAAATTGTGGTGAACTTTAAAATGAACAAAAATGAATAAAAAATAAAACAATGGATATTTACTTTATGGTGAATATAACTTAAAAGCCCTTCTTTACACAGTTATTTATTATTTTACCCATAATAATGATCACAGCCAGGAAATCTTTCATAGGCTATGAAATTGATGGTTTTGATGTCATAACCATCCTTTTTTAAGTTTCAAGACACCTTGTACTAACGCTTCCATCTATGTTAAACTATTTTAAGATAACAATGTGCATTGATCCTTCTCCATGCAAATTACTTAAGTGCTTCTTCACTTTTCCCATTAGGTATGTTATCTTGTGTTTCTGCAGGTGAAGACGACTCGTTGCTGCATTGCTCTTTAAAACCGACGACAGGATCAGCATATATCTGGAAACAAGGTACCCTACACAAGCATGTCCAAAGATGAATTACTTTCACAATGTTAATATTTATTCTTGGTCTGCCCCTATCTTTCTTTTCCAAAACAAATATAGATCGAGACTAACAACATTAAGTCTTATTAAAAGTCTTCTCTTCATTGCAGACACTTACCTGCTTGCCTTTATTATAACATCATCGCCTATCGTTATTTCCTCGTAAAAACTGTTGGCTGCAAAGAAAAATGATAAGTGCTATCAACTGAGGTTTTTTCTATAATTATATTTTGACATACAAATAAATATTTAAACTCAATGTATAATTTTCGCAAAACAACAAAAATTATGAAGTTCTCTATTTTGCTTCTACCGGGTTTTCAGATGCAAATCATCTTATTAACAACAGAGTTATTGTTCTGTAGTGTACACATTGACAGACAAAATATAGATTCTAGAGTCGACAACAGTACAATTACAAAAAAAAACTTATGTAACAAATTCTAAGAATTATGAGTAGCGCTGTCATTAGGACATTCCAATTCCGATATGGTACAACATCACGGCAAGCAACTTATATACAATATTAAATATTTGATCGCACCAGTCTAAAATTACATTAACCGCACTTGAGTGTCAACCTTCACCACTTTATATTCATTCTGATATTTCGAAAACATGAACGCTTTACTTGAATACGGATCTTTATAAATAAGCACAAGAGAAGTTGCGGTAGAGATTACGCTGCAGAATTATAACTAATATATAGGTTAATTACATGGCAATTGTTGTTTACCTCCATTAAGGTTATTGCCCGAGAAGTATTTGGCCAATAAACGATGAATGAATTCATTCTCATAATTCCTAAACCTCTCAATGCACTGCTTGCTGTCCAGGTGACTGCAAAAATAATGAAATGGTAAATCCTCTTAATCTGGAGAAATAACTTGCAGCACAGAATACTTTCCATAAAAAATTAAATAAAATTGCTTCTTTTAAAGTACAAGGCACATATTTTTTATGCCACAAAAATAAAGGGAAAGAAGAATTAGAACAAATAATAAAGAAATTAACATTTACAATTATTGTCTCCAAACAAATAATTAGTTTAGATCAACTAAATTTACAATTATGTGATAATCCAAACATGCACCATGACTTACAACTACAATTAAAAAAAGGCACACCAGTAGGGTCACACAAACTAACATCAGGCAGTTTTATGCTTTAAGTTAATATTAAAAGAATGGATTCAATCTTGCTGTGACAATACCGGATAGCAGCGCGGAGCGGCTAGCCTCAAAAGTGGGATAGTGTATGGCGGGATGACCGTTATTTGATCAATTTTTGGACAAATTACATATGATAATTATCAACATTTATTGAACGTGAAATTAAACAAAATAGTTCAAAACCTATAAAATATTTATAAATCACAGCACATAACTTAATAAAAACACTCAAAAACCAACAAGTTTTAATCGAAACTCTTAATCAAAGTCAACAAGTTTTAATCGAAACTCTTAATCAACGTCAACAAGTCCTAATCGAAACATTACATCCTAAAATTCAAACTTAAGTACTCAATAGTAAGGGATAATTTCACTTTTTCATAGGGAAAAAGGATAGCGGGTCAAAAACCGCTCTGCGCCGGGATAGTAGTCTTTCATGCCCTTTTGTGGGCTAATATATAACCCTGCCTGTTATGTTTCTTCAGTTACACAGTTTTATCATTTAGGATAGTATTGAACTCTTTTTCACCGAGGATGAAAATGGAATATTGGAAGATGATTTGGTTTTGGGAGAAGAGGGTTTGATTGAGAAATTGTTGGTAATGCAGCCAGTGTTGTCCATGACGGAGAGCCGAAATCCCACCATACCAGACGCTTTGCGGCACCGTTATAGCGGATTATGGCGGAAAACACCACAATAACGGCCAATATTTACCATTGCAGCGAAAACAAAACCGCCACGCATATATGCCATAGCGCCGCCATTGCAGATATTTGATAACACTGAATGCAGCTAGTGCTAATGAACTGACAAGAGTTACTAAACACCAATCTATACTTGCTACAACTGTGCCTAATAGATATGAGGAGTTTGAGGTGGAAGAACAAGAGTTTGAATCAAGTGATAAACAAGATAATATTAATATGGTGTAACTTAGAAGTGAAGATTTCGATAATATATAGAAAATTTTAGAACTTCATTTTAATCACTTCCAATAATTTATAATTTGATTTTGATGAAAACTCATATTGATGGGATACGACAGTTTATTATATCTATTAATTGTTCCTTTAAGGGGGTGTTTGTTCCAAGTTTAGTAATAAGATTCTCAGGAATACATAAATAAGAAATGACTATATCTATGTTTGTTACAAGATTGAAAATAATGATTCCTGAGTATAAAGGTTCCAAGGAAAAAAATAACTTCTCATAACTTCTCTTATTCCCATGAAATTATTCCCATGTAAAAAGATGGGAACATGGATTCCAATGAAATAATGGCCGGAATTGCCGGAATTTCATCCCTTAAGATGAATAAGTGGAATGTCACATGTTCAAACCCATGCCCCTGCTGCGGTCAGATGTCTCTACACAACTACAAACTAATACTACTATCGGATATTAACTCTTTGTCCAACGGTTAATACAAAAACACATACAAGTCTCGCTACAAAGGCAAGTTACATGAAATATCTAACCGCATAAAAATTCAAGATCTCTAAAAATTTCACACAAACAAATAAAAAGGATCTTACTCAAGTCCATCATCGTTGTCAGGTTTTACTTCATCTGGATGCAATAAATCCCCATTTTTGACAGCATCACCTTCCACCTTTCAAAACCCTATAAATAATTAGCAAAAAATAGGAGAGAGAGAAAAGAAGAAGAAAGCGAGATAAAGGTAAAGAGAGTCACCGGGTTCACTGAGACGTGAGGGGTGGAGCTGGTGGATTCAGTGGCAGAGAGAGCGGTGGTGCGTCGAGGCGAAGAAGGCGCGCTCGCCATGTTGACGTTGTTTTCTTTCTCTTCTCCGCTGGTTTTTGCTGAAGTACCCATTTCTCAAAACTCTAATTTTTCTACTTTCTTTTTCGTATTAGTAGTACTGTGTTTTTTGTTCAAATAGGTCACGAGAATTGAGTTTCATTTATTAATTATATTTTCATCAATTCATAATTGTTTGGATGATTTATATTACATTGGATCAACTACACTATAAAAATAATAATAAGGACCAATGATATAATAAAAATATATTTGCAATGGTTGTTGAATAGTATTACTCAAGTGGAGAAAGTGATATTTTTTAAGGATCAATTACATATTTAGTTTTTAAATTTCATTTAAAACTAAATATAATATTTATATTATAAAATAGTTAGTTAAATTTATGTTACATTATTAAATTTTATCAAATTGTATAATAAATTTAATTGTTATGTATTGTTAGTGTAAAAAAATTTATACTTACACTTTGACATGACATATTTTTGAAGTTATAATTTATATCTTTATAAATTTATATCACAATAATAAAATATGTTTAATAATGGTCTTTCATCATAAATTTATAATTTATTTTGTTATTTTATAGTTTATTTTCTATATGTTATTTTAAATAATATTTTAGCTATAATTTATAGTCTATATTTTTTCTTGCACCTTAACTCTTATTTTTTTAACTAAAACTAACATTTACTCTTTATAATTTAGTTTAACTAAAATAAAATAATTATGTATTAAAAACAATAATATAAAATTGTAGCGTTATATTTGTAAAAAACTTAATGATGGTGAGAGTTGTGCAACTTTCAAGAAGGCGACAACCATATATTGTATTTAAGGAGGTATTGCCTCACCCCAAGTACCTTTCTCTCGTCAAATATTGTCAAGCTTTGATACCACTAATATAACACCCTTCTAAATCTCATGAAATGTTGCATCATAAATCAGAGTAATTATAACATGCATTTCAAAATAAGAGTGTCACACATACTTCATACATCACAAATCTCTATCATGCTCAAATAACATTAAATTAAATTCATGCTTTTCATATCACTTCACATAAGCATGTCGCGGCAGAATCACTTTCATTAAGAATCTCATAATATTCAAGTCTCAAATAAACTTCATTCATTTAATCAACTTAGGCATAAAAGTGACTTCACCATACAATTCAATTAAAATTAACAAAATAGAATATAATACATAAAGTATCTCTCCATAAACATGAACTCAAATGTTTCCCAGTGTGACATGATCAAATCATGACTCATGACTCAGTTCAAAATATGGAAATAAAATAAGGTACTCCATTAGTTATTCTCTTGCTAGAAGCAACTTTAATCTTCAGTACCTGAGCGATGTCATATAAAACATCATTCCAATAGAAGGGTGAGAATTCAAATGATTATCAAAAGTCATATAATAATATATAATGTTTAGCATACATGCATATAGATCATATTCTCACACTTCATAAGCTTTATAAAACATAACATCATCCAGTTCATTATACCATTAATAAAATACACCAACAATCCACAATTGCACAATTATATTAATTTGATCAATTTCACAATTTCACATAATGCACATAATCTCATTATGACACAAAATACCATGTGACTCAATGCGAGACTCAAATGCAATACCCATGCATGTGGTACCAATCACTGTTATTTTTATTCGATTTTTACTTTACACTGGGTTCGTCCTCTAGACTAATAACATACAAAAAGCTTGTTCTCTAAGCTTCCAAACCCCTCTCTAGGTTTGGGATAAGTCACTAGCTCACTCGAAACTAACAAGCGTGCCTCTTGACAACAAATAATGCATGTGCAATTACAATAATCATATACAATTAAGACTATTCTCTAATCTTAACATTCATGCATATCTTCAATAATCATCACACTTGAATTACCACACATTTGTACATACCTATACATATTGATGAGGTATCCACGTATAATTCATATTCATTTACAATATTCTACCAAATAACAAATCATGCATACATATTATGCATACCACACAACATGTCATCATGGTATCACCATTCACCAAACATGTTATCAACTCATCATGTTATAATCAATAACAATAATGCAACATCACCACATTACAACAATATAACACACAAATACATGTCATTTTACACAACTACATAGTAATTAAATCACATACTTCCAGTAAGACCATTTTTATTTAAAAGAATATCGCGCTAGATTTCTAATGTTTCAAACGGGGACATAAACGAAGCTACGATTTAAAAGTTATAAATTTTTGAAGTTTTACAAAAAATCATGCATTTTCCTGCGATTTCCTTATGGGAATTTCACTCCAAAATTCATTTTAACATCCAAATTACTATGAGTTAAGATATTATAACCTATATTTAACATGTATTTTCAAATAGAAAAATCACAACACCATTACTCATCATATTCAAGGATTTCTCATCAAAACATAACAATTTCAAAACCATGGAAATTTAAGGATTTCATCCTATCTATGTATCTACCCATCATACATCATCATACAATTCCTATAACAATGTAAAAATCTACCCTTACCTTAATTTCTTGATGAACTTTTGAATTCCTACTTAGGTGTTCTTCTCCTCTTTGTCCCTTTTCCTTTTCTCTAGGCTAGCCTTTTTTCTCTTTTTCCTTTACTAACCTAGTTTTCTTTTCCTCTTATACTCTTAACAAAATAACCCTAACCCAACAACTACTAGGGACAATTACTCTTCACACTCCCACATATTAGTCCCAATTACTTCTTATTCTACTATTTTCTACAATTCTTAATTAATGAAATAATTCCATCATAAACCGATATTATTACTAATTATAATTCTACGGTTCAACACACTTAACCCGACTAACCCATCACATAGAATGTATATCAAATTATTCAAACAAAATCAATTACTCACAAAATCAAACAATTATATATATATATATATATATATATATATATATATATATATATATATATATATATATATATATATATATATATATATATATATATATATATATATATATATATATATATATATATATATATATACTAAAATTGAGGTGTTACATATTCAAGGAGGTATTGCCTCGCCCCAAGTACTTTTCTCTTGCCCAGATATGATTTATTGTTTTTGCTTTCAAATACTCTACTTGTGTTATACAAAAACCATTGTGAAGATCATTAAGTTATCGTGATAAATGGAGTCTTTGTTTCAGAGTGTATTACATGTCATGCATTGTTCCTTACATAATGGTTGTTCTAACTATATTCGTTGGCTTTTCCTTTAAAGGGGAGTGAAATACATGTTATTTTATCCTTAATATACAGGCTTTTGATTCCCTTTTAGCAGTAAACAATACTTGCACTATTGTGAACTTCCAAATTCAACTTAATGATTTGATTTTTAAACCTTCACCCCACAAGTATCTCATTAAATTCACTAGAGGTACCACAGTTGGCGAAAAAAATAAGCATGAAATACTTGACAAGGAAATGAAGTTAACTCATTTAATTGACATTATAACAGGATGATGGAAAAAGATGTTTTGATAGGTAACAATGTTAATTTCTTTTGTCTACGAATGTTTGTACGTATTGTCTGCATCCGCTAAATATTTTCCCAATTTTCACATATGTCATCAGAATGGTAGATGAAATAGGGTACACACAAGGTCAGGTTGGTGGTAAGAAGCAACAAGTCGACTTGGTCTTGTGAGACTTAAGTGTGTTTTCTTCTTTCCAAGTTCTGACTAACCTTACCCTCAATGTATCCCTGTTATTTTGGCATTCTATTAACTATACTTTCACCTTTTTTTAGCAATAACACTATTAATTGTACCCTCTGGGAGAAATACGCAATATAGTGCGAGCAACCATTTTCTTTGAGTAGTTTTGTATGATGACAAATATGAGTGATATAAGTATTAATGGATGTTTATTGTGTTTGATCTCTATGTGTGCATGATATGATAATAGTGTAGCATGTTCTATAAGGGTCAAAAATATGTTTTACACACGTATTGTCTGCATCCGGTAAATATTTACCCTAATTTTCACATATGTCATCAGAATGGTAAATGAAATAGGGTACACACAAGGTCAGCTTGATGGTAAGAAGCAACAAGTCGACTTGGTCTTGTGATACTTGGGTGTGTTTTCTTCTTTCCAAGTTCTGACTAACCTTACCCTTAATGTATCCCTGTTATTTTGGCATTCTATTAACTATACTTTCACCTTTTTTTAGCAATAACACTATTAACTGTACCCTCTAGAAGACATACGCAATATAGTGTGAGCAACCCTTTTCTTTGAGTAGTTTTGTATGATGACAAATATGAGTGATATAAGTATTAATGAATGTTTAGTGTGTTTGATCTCTAGTGTGCATGATATGATAATAGTGTAGCATGTTCTAAAAGGGTCAAAAATGTGTTTTACACATGTATCATGATTTCAGGTCAATACAAAATGCTTTGCATCGACACATACTTAAGCTAAAATCAAAAAAATAATTGTGCTTAAGTATGAGTCGATTCATTCGCACTTTGCATCGATACATATCAAGTTCATGCTTCTGGAAACCATTTTAAAAACCTTTATGCATCGGCACATGCACTTATGCATCAATACATATCACTTCTTGTTTTTGGAAATCAAAACCAACTCGGTATGAATCGACACATTCGCATTTTGTATCGACTCATACGAAATTAAAGGTTCTGGATTCTGTGTGGACAACAGTTTGTATCGATACATAATGGTTTTCATCGACTCATTTCTTGGTTGCATCGACACATTAGTGTCTTGCATCGACTCATACACATTTTGTCTCTTTGTAATATGTCTTGATAACAGTATTTATTGATACATAATGCATTGTATCGACTCATCTCATATTTTGTAACTAACATGAGTCGACTCATATGAGATATGCATCGACTCATACTTCGGTTTTACTTCTAACATTTTTTTGTTACATATATAAGTCGGTTTTGCAATTCAATAAAAAAACCAGATGTCACAAA